ACTCTAAAATACATGGGAGTGAATTTTTGACCAATTAAACAATTCCGTAGTAAATAGCAAAATCGGCTATTTACAACTCTAAAGGGTGATGACCTTGCTTTCTCTTGGAAAATTTAAGATGTTATGACAGTCATTTTTTGTAAATACCTGTTACATGTTGTAGCTGAAGTACAGAAAAAAGAGCAATCAGCTTGTACTAACCCACTAATGTAATTAGAACAGTTTCTCCTCAATGTTTAGCATTCAGTGTTATCTTTTATGATTTATTGCAAATGGTTGAAGCAATGTTTGATTAGTGGTGACTGAGTGAAATGGCATACTATATCATGTCTCATCAATAGAGATAATGACACTTAGGAAATTATATATGCAAGTCAGGAGTACTATGTAAGCTTATTAAATAAAGATTTGCAACAAACACAGAGTAAATTCTTAACAATTGCATATGACTGCTAAACGTAAAGTTTATAAAATTTATATATAGGATTACCCGTATATGGAAAATTATAATTATAATGGTTTGACCGAATATGAAAAAGCAATGCGTTTCTTGGAGATAGGTTGCAATTGTGGTTGCTCAAAAAAGATTTCGAGAGAAAGGTTACGTGGAGAAACAACTGCCAGTCGACGTCTTAAAAGGAAAACGCGTACTAATAAGCGAACGTTTTATTACTGAGATCTCCATACGAGAAATGTCAATCGCATTAGTCAATCTACCAGCCGAAACAAGTTACAAATCGGTCTATCGTGAATTTATTGCAGGTCTTGAAAACGATAGCACGTTGAAATTATTAAATATGACTCATTTTGCAAGTTATGGCACCAATTTACACCTTAGCAGAGCAACATAGAAAATTGATAAATGAGCATTTTAGAACAAGAGGCAAAGCTGATTATAGTGTTGACGCAACTGCTCATTACAGCTACGATTGAGCGCAAAACGTTCACGTACCCCATTCCGATCAACAGGTAAGTAAAATTTATTATCTCAGTCCATGTAAAGTACATTTATTTGGTATTCAAGATGAAGCAGTACGCGAACAAATTAATTACGTTCTTGATGAAGACGAAATCATCGGCAAAGGTCCTAATGGTACGCTGAATAAAGGCGAAAACCATTTAACAAATTACTTGTGACAACGCGGGTGGTCAGAATAAAAATAATGCCATCATTTGATTTTATCTGTATTTGGTAATTTACGGTTATTATGAAAGTATTGTATTAAATTTTATGATACCGGGACATACTAAATTCAAATGTGATGGTAGTTTTGGACTGATTAAAAAATATACCGCAAAACAACGGTAGATTGTGTGGATCATATTGTTAAAGTTGTGAAAAAATCAAGTACAGCGGGATTAAATAAGGCTCAGTGTTATGACAACGGAAAAGGTTTTCAGTACTTAGATCTGAATTCCGTATTGGGGATTTTCTTTAAGAAATTGAATGGTTTACAAAAGTATCACAATCAGCATTTTGTTTTTGAACCAACTAATCCTGGAATTGTCAAAGCTCAAATGGTTGCTAATGGTGCTTTTACTGAATTTAATTTGTTAAAAACTAGAAAAACAAGTGTTTCTGAAATTACCAAAGAAACCAAATTTTTCCATCCTGGTACTAATACTAACCCCTCCTCCTTCGGATTACAAAAGGCAGGAGTATCTTTACCAAAACATTCGTGCATTTGTCAGAGATGAGTTTAAAGATATTACTTGCCCAAGCCCAACCTATACTGGCAATTAATAAAATATTTAAACTGAAAATTTCCATCATACATTAATTTCCTTACTACATTAAGTTCTCCATCTAATTTTTGATGAACATTCCCACTTTTAATTTTTAACACTTAATTTTTAAAAGTTAAATAAAAAAATATTAAAATAATTATATACTTAATATAGCCTATAAGTATACTAAAAAATAAACAAATAAACAAATAAATAAAAAAGTCATGGTAAACATCCTAAAAGAACAACAAGAAAAAGACAAAGAACTATTAAACGAAATCGAAACATTAAAAAAACAACTAACAGAAAAAGATAAAGAGACGAAACAATTAAGAAAGTAAGTGAACAAGAAGAAGCAGAATTTAAAAAAGAAGCAACTGAGAGAATTCACCAAATGTTGGTAGAAATGAGGAATAGGTTTCCTCATTGTAGTAAGAATATTGAACAATATTTAAGAAAATTAATTAGCAAACCATCAAGAAAACAGTTTATGAATATTTGTTCCAACACAGTCTTATGCATGACTATAATTGGAAAGAAAAGGAGAATTTGGAAGAAGTTGTAGCAGGGGTAGACCCGGTTATAAGTGCGCAAACCGGTTTCAACTTCTCTCGAAATTTTGCAACCGGATGTAACCGGGTCAATCCGTGTGAAATCAAATCCGACTTAAACCAAATTTATGCAAACCGAATGTTCGATTTAAACCGGGCCTAAAAATAAACTCGGTTATTCGAGTTGAACCGGCAACTATATATTAATATTGCAAAAAAGACCATTTTAACTCTACCTAATAAATTATCGATTGAATCAACTAATCCAGTGAAGAGGATGATAATGATAAATTTTTCAGGCAATTAAGAACAGTGAATCACCGAACATCAGCTTCAGATGAATTAGATGAAGTTGTACGATACTTGGCTCTTGATAGTATCGGTCTTAATGACGATCCATTAAAATGGTGGCAGAATCATAAAAATAGTTTACCAGTTCTTGCACAACTGGGAGGGAATATCTTTCAATTCCTGCAACTTCAGTCCCTTCTGAGAGACTATTCTCAGATGCTGGGAACCATATAACAGCAAAGAGAACGCGTTTATTACCGAATTTAGTAAACAAAATTTTGTTTTTAAAGAAAAATTCGGAGCATGTCGAAATATTTCCGCCACAATAAAATTTGTTTTGGTATAGTTAACAATTGATCGGACATGTTATGAAAGATAGTATAATCTGATTGCTAATAAAGACAATTGCTATAGCATAATCATTAAAGCATAATTTGTCCCATGTTAATAAATATAAAAAAAAAACGTTGTGTATTGGTATAATAATTACTGAATAAATCGATTTATTTAGGCCTGTTTAAATAGATCTTTGTTGGGATAAAACCGACAACCGGCTCAAGTCAATAAACCGAATTTATTTTAGGCCCGGTTTGAATCAGATACTCGGTTGGGATTAAAACCGGTTCAACTCGAATAAACCGAGTTTAAAACTAAACGGCCAATCTCTAACTGCAAGTAACTGCATCAGTGCTGATAATGACGACACAACTGTCTGGACTCTTATGTAAACTTCCTAAAAAGTAATTGTTTGGTTCGTTGTAATCTTCGCTTGTCAGTCATTTTTCAGCAAAATTTTTTAGACCGTAACTGGTTAAACCATTACGTTATTATTATTATTATTATGGAAGTTTTCCCAGCATTGTTCTTGATATTAATTGTGGCAGATTAAAACAAAATCGGATTAAACCGAGATTTGGGGTCTTCTTGGATCATCTTTTAATGCCTCCGAAACCCCATATATACTCTTCTATTAACCAAAGTTACCCTAGTCCCAACCTAGAAATTGCCCTCCAATAGATAAATTTCATTTTAAACCGATTTTTCGTTTTAATCTGTCACAATAATTAATATGAAACGCCAGAAATATGGTGTTCCCGTATTCGTGTTCCGTTTAGGAAACTTCTTGAATAAATCATATTTTAATTCTGCAGAAAAAAAAGGGGGGAAAGATAGCAATGTTTCTAATATTTCAATCGACGGTACTTCCACCAGTAGTGAAGTATAATGGGGCTTAAAAACTTTCGCGCGACGGTTATCCAACATCTAAAGAATGAAAGTGCGATCTCTTTGAGTACGCTTTTGATGCATATAGGTTGTTTATATTAATAAATCTTCCCAGAAGCAACTGGAATCAGTCATCTAGGCTTGTTATTTCATTCATCTCTCTAGCATCTGCATCATCTGAATTGTCAAAATCTTTATTTTGACTCTCGGTGTTAGGTGACTGTGTATTCTCTATGTCCCATGGCGTGCTTCTACTAAGCGAATGACACTTTGTAAGACCCAAGATATTTAAATTTTTTGCAAAATTGATTTTAGTATACGTTCTTACGCGAATTTAAAATACCAATAATACGTACTAATGAGGAGATTGTGCGATCACTATCATATTTATATTAGAAAAAACCATAATTTACACGATCGGACATCGTAAGTGGATAAAAAGATACATGTATAGTATATGCTCATCAGCGGAATGACAACCTTCCCACTCCACAGGATTGAAGACAGTTTTGTACTAAGATTAGTCTCCACTTAATCGGATGCTCTCCATTCTTGCCATACTTCTTCTACAGTATTGCCTTTGGTCTCAGGCACATATCTATTAACCAGTAGGTACGCAAGCACAAGATATGCTGCAAATATGTAAAACACATTTCCTCCAAGGTACTCTCTTATCCCTAAGAATGCAGCAGCCACTATGAAATTCACTATCCAGTTCACAGCAAGACCTAATCCTCCAGCGGTGGCAACAGCACGCGTATCCACTACTTCGGGAGTGATGAGGAATGGAATAGGACCCAACCCAATTGCGAAAGTAGCAACATAAGCTACAATAGAAAAGGCAGAGAGCATAGCAATACTATGCGTGATTCCTAAACCAAGTAGTGCACTTGTTACTGACATCGATGAAATTGATAAGAGTAATAATTTCCTTCTACCCGCCTTTTCTATTAGGCCGGCAGAAACTATGGTCATTATAGTATTTACAATACTGATAAATACCGTAACCATATTATTAGAAGTAGGCAGAATTTGGGATAGGATAGTTGCAGAGTAATAAATAACTGCATTAATTCCAGATAATTGCTGGGTCATCTGAGTGAGCAGAACAACAATCAACGCTGGTCGGTAGTGAGCTGATGTAATGAATTTCCAAACATCAACCTCATTGATATCCTTGGCATAGAATACATTTTCAGGCGTTTCCAAATCTTCGGTCTCTTCCGTATTCTCTATCTCAGTCTCCTCAATCAATCCTTCGAATACTTCCTCATTAGTAGAAAGTGCCCACGCACGTAATTCACCCTCAACATCTGTGGTTCCCCTTAATTTTTGCAAAGCCTTCTTCGCACGGCTGTACCCGCCCGGACTAGAGGCAAGGTATTTAGGTGATTCTACAACAAAGCCCAAAAGAATGGCTTGGACTAGGGCAGTTACCGATCCGACGAGAAGGATTATCCTCCATCCCGGTATCGTCGAGAAGTAAAGTCCTAGTACCTGAGAAAAGAGGATTCCGAGGACTACACCGAGTTGATTCATCACGCCTGTACGTAGCATAAGATGCTTCAAGTTAGATCATGATACGTTGATAAAACAATTCGTGAATGCAAGAATGCGCGAAACACTTTGAAACGTATTTACCAAAAGTACCGCGGTGCTCAGTCGGGGCTATCTCAGCCAGGTATGTTGGCACAACTACAATAGCCTTTTCACAGAATAAACGTTCATGTCTAATCAAATTCGATAAATGCTTTAAAGTTGTCTTAACCTCTACCCCCAGTCAAACTCACCACGCCACTTCCAATTCCAACAACAATTCTCCCAACGACTAGTCCGGTAATAGTACTTGCAAATCCCATAATTAAGGCACCACATCCGAGGATTCCAGTATTCGCTAGCATAGTCCACCATCGCCCTTTACTGTCAGCATATCTTGATACAAACAATGAACCGAACAATCCACCAAGATTGAATATTGAAGTCACTAAGGAGAACTGATTAGGCGTCATTTCAATACACGATGGTAAGAGAGAAACCACTGGCAAGACATCATCGCATGACATGACGCGTTGGGGAATGTTTAGTTCCCCTATCTGTTAAAAATAGGCAATAATATCGGTTAATTCGAACATGCAAAACATTATATCTAGTAAGCATGTGGAAGAACGAGTTTTACATGGTAGCCAAACTGAAATGAACCCAATACAATCGCAAAGGAAACAAAAATTAGGTAAAACGTCAATTTGCTTTGAGTCATGGTTGGGGACAAGTTCGAATAATGTAAATGGTGGGTATCAGCAAGCTATGTGGATCTGTCCCACCATAAAAAGACTATTATTATTCATGTTTACCTTTCAAGGCTAGTACCAGTACTTGAGAGGGTCCCAGCATCAGTTCTCAACGGGGTTATAAATTTAAGACTTAATAATAATAAATGCTGTTATCCATCAACCGAAAATTCCTATTGCATTCATTATAACAGAAGCCTAACAAGAGTTTGCCCAAGTTAATAAACAACTGACATGTCTCTGTTACCACGTACTTCCCACATCGATCATGAGATGTCAGGCAGAAGTTTAAATTAACTCCCCAGCCTTCGCCCGAAACGTGAAACTATCCATTCTGGCATTTTTTATGCATAGGCATTATCTTCTTTATCATTTTCCCATGTGTTGTGAATGTATTTTAAGTCTTAGTTATAGAAAATCTTTACTATTCTGATGATACATCCATATTAATTGAAAACCAAATCGACAATAAAATATTGCTCTTCTCGTTCTTTACGCTGAGACATACAGTCAATATCATTTGCTTCTTTCCGACCCGTTCGACCGGTGTGACACAAATCATGCGAGCTGTAACATTCCAGAGTGTTTTTACGTGCTAGTACTAGTTCGACCCATAACGATGAGTAAACAAGGCAACGCACTTGTAGAATATCTTGGGCGCAATCTATCTGCAACTGTTGCAGGGAAACACACGTATAACCTATACGTTCTTTCGACAACTCAGGTCGAAACAGATTCACCCACTCCACATTTGAACTCAACAGCGAAACGACGACGTTTTGTTGTATTTCTTGCAGAAGACGCGATTTTTATAACTGCTTTAGAAGTACACGAATACATTGAAGATCACGAAGAGAATGACACTGTTTCTTTATACATATCCAAAGTAGATACGACAGGCTTCAGTTCGGAAAGCGGTAGTCCTACGAAACCTCTGATAGCATCATTCTTGAAATACTATATAGAAATTCGCTCTCCAAAACTATTAAAAATAAATGTGTTCGCTCGAGCTCAACCACAGTACCTTTTTACCAAATCGTTTGGAAACCCTCGGAAGCGCGTTCTGCGCGATAGTGTACTTGTGAAATGGTGGAAGAATGTGATTGCAGAGACATTATCTACAATTAGCGATCGACTGAGAGGCAAGACAACTGCCTGGTTCTATATCCCTGGCGAAAATTCAGAACGTTCAGCGCGCATTCTTATCAAGGACGAAAACGCTGAACAACAAGAGAAGCCGTTATGGGCTTATGGCTACCCATATGATGATGATCAAGCCGCAGAGAATGTTATACCTCGGTTTATAGATGATGCGAAAGGACGGATTTTGAGAGATGTTGCAGGAAGAGACAATAAGAGAAAGAAAATAGCAGGTGAGATGTCTGTGGAGGAATTTTGGCAAGTGATGGCAATATCAGGTGAATGTGGTGCTGGTAAAACTACTGGATTCTTTTGGGTAGAGATAACCAATGGGCGTTCAGAGCGGGATAGCGAATGGATAACTGATGGAATGCTAGTAATTGATGATACAGAATTTTCTAGAGTAGTTGATGAGCTGTTGGATCTTGATTTCTGGCCACGTGAGAAAGCAATTGAATCGACGCAAAAGTTTATAGAAATACTTGGTAGTAAATGTGAGATTCAAGAAGTCAAAATCGAAGTCGATAATCAGTTGAATCAATTTAAAAAGATTGATAATAGAGTGGTTAATAATTTACAGACATCAGTCAAGAGAAAGAATCCGCCGTCGGAGAAAGACGGAGAAGCAAGTGTCAATGTGCTGTCGCCATCACTAGTCAAGAGAAAGACAAAATGAATAGACAAAACTATTAATCAATCAATCCCATTGGATATCTGGATGCTCCTTATACTTTTCATAGGCTTCGAAATTGAAGAATGAGATTTCTGTTTCGTTTTCTATAATGTACAAATATTATAAGAATGTACAAATATTACGTTTTTGCAGTTACTTATATCAATTGTTGCTTACCAATTCCATATGATAGTAGAGCGCTGTGTTCGTAATTCAAGAGCCAGTCTTCGTCATGTTCAAAGTTAATCACAAGATTTGTTGGCTGTAAACAATGAATAAAATCAGTCCATTGAAAAGCGACCTCGTTGATCCAAGTAAATTTTTAATGTTACTTTGGCTCCATGAGCTTTGGTGTAAACTTTGAGCGTGTCTAAGAGTATGATGATGGACAAATTAGAAACGAGAAATTTTATTGGGTTAGAAAACTTTTACAGATAACCCAAGTGCTCACCATAATTCACGTTACGAAATGGCTTGAAACCAGGCGTAGTGTTTATTTCTTGTGATGAGTAACGTGATAATTTATTAATTTTTGCAAAGGAGAAAAATATGTGATCGTCAGCATAACCAGTTCATTGCAAAAGAGGTTGGTATTTATGAATAGATACTCTCTCGTATTATTTCTTTCAACTGTTCGACAGTTGTTGTCTCCAGGTTGACATTCTGAAGAACCATGTTCTTGACAGTACGATACTCAAAGTTCTTGATCACACGAATTGTTAGCGTCGAGGAGGTTGTTGGGTTTAGCGTGTTCGTGAGCGCAGTCATTTTGCTTACTAGAAAGAATTTCTTTCAACCTGTATCATGTGAAAATGTTTATAATCTGATCACATGATAAATTATTATGAAAGAAGCAAAACATATACGAACCAGTTTTTCTTGTAACCGTTTTATGCAGATATGGATGGTGGACAACTATGTATAGTGAATCAGATGGAAAGCCAGTCACGCCTCAATGAGACTTGTCCCGATAAACCTGATTTCGTTCCTTTGGAATGGTATAATGTTGCAATTGCATCAATCTTTATCGTGGTGAACGGTGAGAAAAAATCCCAACGCTCGACATTGGGATAATTCAGCTATAATAAATGACTTGCACTTTTTAGGAGCTATTTCGATCGTTCTTGGGTTGCAGCTCGAGAAATCGTTGTTCGTAGCTGCCATTCGATGTCTTGTGCAACTAACCATTATGGTATGCTACAGAATTAACGCGCGCGCTAAAATCCAACAATCAATTCAACGTTATTATACCGACTCTTAGGGGTTAGTCCTCGCGGACGTATTTGGGGCAAGAAATCCCGTTTTTGTCCTTGGACTAGCGCGTATGTTGATATTGACTGTTATTCTAACACTGGCATACTATAAATATGCACAAGTTCATATAAACAATACCTGTTTGTTAACATTTGAATGTTTATTTGCCCTCCATTATAGTGACACTTATTCTCCTAGGCACTAACGAAATTGTCTATAGTAAATGCAGAAAGAGATATAATGGAATGGTAAGAAGATTAATGCAATAGTCATGTATTTGTAAACATTCTTGTCGTCTATTAACATGCGGATCAATAATAGTTCTTATCGGGTTTCTTCTCGCTAGGAGTAAGTACGATGATTGTTGGTATATTAGGTAAGTATAATACTGGCATAATGAACGAATACTCAAGGCATGTTGTGTGATAACAATGTACACTGAATTTATAAGGTACAAAATTTGCAATGGAGGAAGATCCGTTCTGGGAACCGTACAAGTTTGTTCCTACCATGGGAATGCTTATAGGGAACACAATGTCTGGAATAGCCGTTGGCCTGTCATTCATTCTCGACCAATTGAGGTTAATATGAAGGGTCTAATTTCTGCTTATAAACCAGTTGTATTTATTATTTCCAGTTTTATCACACAGCGAACAGCGAGAAAAGATCGAGACCTACTTGTCATTTGGAGCCACTAGATGGGAGGCTATTCGTCCAGTCGCTGTTGAAGCAACAAGACTTGCAATGTTACCAACAATAAATCAAATGAGGTACATTATAAACCGTTGACAGTAGACAACATCAAACGTTGTGGAGAGATTGAACTAACGATATTTATTATCAATTAAAGTGTGATTGGGCTGATTTCTATTCCAGGTACCCGAGACTATTGTTTGTATGTGTCCTCTTTACGGTATTAATCCATATTATGAATTGCTTCCATAAAATTAGGAATGATGACTGGTCAGATTATAGGCGGTGCTCCGATCATGGATGCCGTTAAATACCAACAGATTATAGTTTTCATGATAAGCGCGGCAGTTGCACTTGGTGTCTTGTCGGCTATACTTGTTAGTGCATTATTTCTTTTGCGTATAGTGATCTATCTAGTTGTATAATACAGCGTCACTTAACTGACAGATGCATTTTAATTTAGATTACCGCGTTTACATGTGTTGATGCGTCTCACCGATTGCGTACCGAGCGCATAACTACCGATATGCCTTGGATATACGAACAATTTCGTCGGCTTGGACGTGTCATTAAGGGATTTTTCGTAAGGACACGGGCTGCAGTTTGGTATTGTTGCTGTGGTTGGAGACGGAACATTGATTATAATGAAGAGCATGAAAGCATGTTGAATCAACATTAGATAGAGACATGTGCGTTATTCATATTTATAGTTGATCGTCAGTTTCACAACATGTTTCCTGCCTGAATAAATGATCGACAGCACATGACGGTTACACTCTCTATTAGCGAGATATGTACTGAATGCTTGTGCGCTTCCTGTGCAATACAAAGATGGGCAAAGACTTGACATGTCTTTGGCGTTCTTCATCATCTCTTGGTATAGGTGAATTAACACGGTTTCGCATAAAATTCAATCTCGCTAAACTCTTATCGCCCCCTACCACCGTTGAGCCATTTCCGCTAATAATCGAAGTAAAGAACTCCACCCCCCTTATATACCGTGGTGCTCTTCTCACAGGACCATACAACATTTCAGCATGCATTCTCGAGACTCGTAATGTATGTGCCTGTCTACAATTAAAGCCTGTTCTTGCATGTGGAGAGATATGGAGAGCTGCACTTGATATACCCAAGGAGGGTGTTGGTGATTGGACTGCGGATATCTTTAGCGAAGTGATTTTTTCCCCGAATAAAGTTGGATATGAAATCAGCGTACTTGCTGAATTACCCGAAGGCCATTACAACCTTAGATCCGACAACGAAGTAATAAGTGAGAATGGAACTACTGTATCATATACTCCTGGAATTGAGTACGAAATGTGGAAAACGGAAGATATCTTTCGATTACCGGATTTGAGTAACAGAAAAATTGGTGAAGAAGTACATTTAGTTGTTTTAACACATGGACTCAATGGTACTGCCTTGGATAAAAAGTATCTAAAGGAGCGATTAGAAGACAAGTACAACAACCAAACTGGAACTCGAGTAGTTCCATATGTTGCCGACGTGAATCATGCTTCAACGTGGGATGGGATAGAAATATGCGCTAGAAGAATTGCCGACAAAGTATTGAAAATAGCCGGGTGGCCATGGAATGTTAACAGTACTGACATTGATAAAGAAGAAGAGACATCTACTGGACCATACATATCTAAAATCTCCTTGACCGGCCATTCTCTTGGCGGTTTAATCAATGTATGCCTTGCCGGTTATCTGAATAGCCTAACAAAGGGTGAATTTTACCGTAGCATACAAGCGGTCAATTTCATTACAGTAGCAACACCATGGCTTGGATCAACGGAACAACCTTGGTATATCAAAGCAGGAATGCATGTAGGAGCAGTCGGACAAACAGGTAAAGATCTCTTGGCAGTTCAGCGAACACGATCAGAACAAGCGCAAGCACGTGGGGCTGCCGAAGAGAATACACTGGAGGAAGAACCTCTATTGTTAGCCCTTGCCCATCCGTCTTCACCATCTCATCAGGCTCTTGTCAAGTTTCAACACAGAACAATCTATGCTAATATTGTCAACGACGTATCAGTATCGTTCAGAACGGCATCGCTCTACTTTATTGATTTTGACCCTACTTCTTATGTAAAGGTGCGTCCTGTCAATCTCTTGGATCACCTGCAACATATCCACAATACACTCAACCCACGAGTCCCTCCTATCGAGACTTTTACGAACCAACGTTCTGCAGTCAATCCTATTCTCCATGACAAGTTATATACGCCCGATGGAATACCTCCGCCTGCAGATGAATGTGCAATGCCAATCGAGGAGCGTATTGCTCGTCTATGGCACAAAGATTTAACTTGGCGAAAAGTGGTTGTTCGCCTGGAAGGTGAGGCACATTTAAGCGTTATCGTGAGACGAGAATGGCTAAACAAAGAAGGAAAACAGGTGATCGAACATTTATTAAATGAGCATGAATTCTAAATTAGAGTTGCAATGAATAATTATTATTAGTCATTATTTTAATATCAATAGATTATACTACTTTCATCTAGCGTTGTAGTGAACTAAAGTATGGTGTTGTTTTGTTAATACTATTGTTATTGTCAAGCTAGTAATTTTACAAGTCGTAAGATACATATAAGAGTATAATCCTTTATATAAAAACCCACTACTACATAGTGAATACCGCCTGAACGTGCCCATCCAATGTTAAAGATTGATCTCCCAAATCTATTATGGTAACCCCATCTGGTCTCTGATTACTAAACGACTTGTCCAACAATTTAACAGTTTTGTACGGTTTGACTTCAGATCTGATAGTTCCAATCGTTATATGGGGATGCTTGTTTACACATGGGATATTTTGAGGAGAAATATCTTTAACGGTAAGCGTCATAACCTCAGAGTCAAAGACCAACTTATCCACTGTGACCTGCACCTCAACATTAACCTGATCATTCAAGCGATCCCAATGAGATCTAAATGATTGATTGGCCTTTAAATCCTCCTTGTGGCAAAGAGTTATGTGAAATGCCTTGAAAATGCGAGAAGACTCGACCATGTCGTTAAACAATTTAGAATCGACATCCGGATGTGTTGAGAAATAGTCCCTGAGAAAGCCCTCTAAATCATCTCGGATTGGTATAGCATAATAAAACGGCTTTGACTTTTTGATCGCCTTCTTAACAGTTGGCTTGTAATTTCTGACAGCTTCTAACGCGTTCTCTATGTCTTCATCGCTTGGATTCTTCAAGTCAAGTGAAGGTTTCAGTTTATCTATGACAGTTAGTAGACTTGTCTTTATGTCGGATGCAATCTCAACTTGTATAATATCTTCGATCAGGCTGTCGGGTTTCCTATCAGTATTTATCGATTGGAATGTATTTAAAAACGTTCTGATAACTTTCTCGTATCCTGCATTATCTGTTGTAAGCGACTGGTGATTTGTGCCCCGGTTGTAGACTCTTTCAGCAGTTATCCGGAAAACTTCGTCTTTTGAAGGGTAAGTCCAGGTGATTGCAATAATGTGAACATTTGGATACCGTACTCGCACTGCATCGATGAGCGTCTCTCTCAATTTAAGAATATGATTATTCCTGTATTTTGATGGACTTGTATTAATAGAAATTCACAACTACTGCAGCATCAATATTCTGCAGTCTCACCTGTCCGCTATGACAACTTCATTTGTCTCAAACTCTCTCAAGATTGCTTTGTGGAATTTCGATCTTGTCTCCTTTCCAGTGACATTATCGTTTTGAACATGACTAAACCCAAACAGACGCGCCAAAGCCAGACCAAGGCTAGTTTTCCCTAAAATACGAAAGCATCACAGGTTTGAGCATTTCAAAGCTTGGGAAATCAATCACCATTCAGAGTCACGTCTGTGCCCCGCGCATTCGGGTTACTATTGTACACTTACCACAACCAACAGTTCCCACTGGCATTATCAAAGTTTTGTCAAAACGACGTTCTCCCCGCTCCGTCGCTTTATCACTTATCTGTGGACTAGATTGCAAGTTGCGAGACTCCAAGAATAAATCTCTCACTTTAAAAATACCTTTATTCTTCATGTATTCCTTAAATAGTTCTGGTTCGGTCTTTATCTTGTTTTCCACCCACACAATATAATCCCTGCTCAATTCAAATGTTGGTTTTGGCCTCTTTGCTTTTTTCGGATTAAGTAGCTTTTTCGTTATCTCTCTCCATTCCCTATACATCAAATAGGGATCGTCATATTTGACTTTGAAGAAAAAGTCCTTTTCACCATTCTTCAATTTTGTTCTCACCACAAAGCCTTCAATTGGCATGTTATCTAATACGCCATCACGTCTGACCTCATCAGTGAACTGTTTGGCTTCCTCTGCACTTTGTTTGACATAGTACTTGACTTCAAGGAAACCCCACTCTTTGGCAAATTCAATTACTTGCTTGCTTGGCCATGTTCTAAGATCTTTGGTATTGTAATTAACGCCATGTAAACGCAATCCGCTGTCATCCCCGGTATATGGCAAAACATGTTCTTCAAATGTGTCGTCACAGAGCTAAGGAGATGACAACCAATAATCTATTAATGATTTAATCAAACTTGAGAATAAAGCATACATTATTATCACGTACCTCTGCTACGGCTGTGAGCTTGTTTTCATAAAGATACCTAGCAAGGTCTTCCTTTTTTTTGTGTGCTTTTTGTAGATGTTTCTCTAGCCATTCACGACCTTTCTCAGCATGGCTAACCGTCGCATCAATTCTGATACCCATAGAATGTTTGCTGGTAACTAGGATCTGGCCATTTGGTAGTCCGCTAATAAATATAATGCATCCATTCTCTTTGACGATTAATTCATATGGAGGAATAGTATTTTCTTTTATATTTTCCCACTAAAAGAGCAAGGACATTGAAAATTAGAAGTGCTCCACGGGCGAATAGAATATCAAAAAGATGGTCAAAAGTCAGCACAAACCCTGGTCTTGGAAACTTCATCAATGTTAAAGAATTTATCATAACCTCTGATCACAATCTCGTGCATTCCATCCTCAGCTACTCTAGTAAACAACCCCCTCGCACTTGTTAACGCGCGATCTTTTTTGTAATCCCACTCATCCATTTTCCACGATAGAATGAGAGTTTTTGTCGGTTCATGGATGTATTCATGTTTCATTTTAGCTCGGCGACCCTTTCTTGTTTCTTGCAAAAGAAATTGGATGTGTTCGTGTGCATCTTCTCTATCCTCCTGGGTTACTGCCCCTCTTGGAACTGAAAGCGATGGTCCTGGTTCGGCCATTGAATTAGGATGTAACATTTTTATCCAAGTCGAATGATGATATATAAAGGAGCTTGGCGCATGTTGTAGTTTATTCCTAATTGGATGAAGATTAAATGAGGCGTAGTCATGGCGCAGAAGTTTAAAGAAGCTGCGGGAAAGCATGGCTGCTGCGAAAAGTTTGTATTTTTTGTCAAAATCGACATCGAAATGTAACGAGAATAAATCACTTTTTTTTTAAAATGTCGCGTGTTGTGGGGGGGTTTTTTTTTTGCCGTATTCCCGATTTGGATTACAAACACATTCGACAATATATGATTTATACTATAGTCAAATAATAAACTTCCTTTTTATAAGAACTGAATCCTTGCCATTTCGAAACGAAATCGGATTAAAATGACTATTTTAATTGGGAGACAATTTTTTAGGCGTTTTCTTGGGGGGGATTTAAGGTAACGTTTGCTAATAGAATAGTATATTAATATGTGGGTTTCAGAGACGTTAAAAGAAGACACCCCAATCTGTATCGGTGTACGACCTGCCATATTAAACGTCACACCGAAATGATTTGAAACTTTATGCATACTGTCTGCAGTAATAACATTGTGTTAATGTGACAACACGGTTATAAGAAGCGCGTACCATTATTTATCGAGTTCGTTGGATCTTGAGTCTCGCCTTTTCATAAGGGATATGAGTAGTGCCTACTAATAAAACATGTGATGAAGTATAACACAATATTGAAATACCTTACTTATTTAAAGGCATTCATAATGAAACGAAACTTTTGTTGATGTACCAAGATATGACAAAGTACATCGGCAAAGGAAGGTATATTAATAGCATTAGCGATATTTCTGATGCTATTAGTATGAGTTTTCTTAAACACGAAACAAGATGCTGGTAAATGTATGTATCAAATCCATTTTGGGTGAGTTGCTCTTCCTTCTTGCCATTCGATAAAGTCGACTATGCTTTCTCATGCTCAGAAACATTAAATGTATGTTAATAATATTATTAACGTGTTCCTTTTTTCTTTATCTGCTCATTCATATTCCACTCGTTTCAATTATTTTTCGGAGAATGAGCGTTTTGTTGATGATAATAAACGTGTTTAGAATAAAAGCGATAATTATAATGTCATTTGTTTGTTAAAATATGAACAAGTCCAGAATTTTTATCAGGTAGTGTTCAAGTCCTTTCATACCTGTATGAATCAATCAAATGAAGTAGTAGAGACAATTCAATATCAAGCAGCCGAATCGACACGTTAGAACATAAGTAGACAGGGGTGATTTGGCGAATTACAGAATATTATGAATTTTCGATAATGGAGTCGATAACAAGATTTATAGTATATTTTATTAAAGTAAACCATTTTTGACTATACAATTACGTGCAGAATTGTATGCAGAATTGTATGTAGGTTATATATAATACATGTCAATTATATGTTTCTTTTTAAATCTACGACATTCCTCTATAGGTACATACTGTACATTGCGTATTTTGCAAGCTAGAAATCTAGAGAGTTTCGAAACCAACCCCAAGTTAGAAGAAAGACACTTTTATTTTCTCTGCTTCTTACTAACGAAGAGATTTAACAGAGAAGCAGAGCGAAAAGAAAGCTATGTGAGAACGAAGATTAGCGGAAAGAAAAGGAATAAAAGGATGGACGAAAATAAAAATAAAAATTTAATTTGCAATCCTTTTCTATTTGCATTGCATCTATTATAAATACGTTCTAGTTTATTAACTCTGAATAATAAAATTTTTTAGCAAAGGTTTATTAGAGTAGCTCTTTGATACTCAATAAATAATAATTCGTATTTCTTAGTTATCTGCCTCAATAACGCGACGTAGACGTGCAAAGCGAATATGATTGCTAATTAATTGTCTACAAGCGCGTTCACTTTAATATACTGTATTAACGTACCTACAAACTGTCGAGAGTAATCGTATCGGTAGTCAGTTAAAAGGTCACTAACTTGTCGTTTACAGATTTAACGGAGTAGAGATTTGACAGCATTGTTTGAAGAAACTTAATCATAGGGTTGATGTACCAATTGCTCTCTCTTGCAACAACTCGACACTACTCAGTTAAAATATACGAATCTATGGATTATTATAATAATATATAACGTGTAGTGAACTGTATCTATTAATTTATAACATTGTCGAGATATTTTGGTAAAACTTCACCATAGATGTTATATTAAAATGCAATTTCTTATTTAACACCCGGTTTTTTTTTCTCTAAATCTAAAACACTTAATATGTTTGACTAACAATATAATCAATGTACAGCACTAGTACATACTCATACGTAGTGTAATAATAAACATTTTACAAAATAAGTTGATTTGTGCGTGATAAATAAACATTTATTTTATCAATTTTCTAAATCACTAGGCAGGCATGCAAATTTTTCCATCTGATTAACTCTGGTCTCGTTCATAATAATAACCGTCAATAAATCACAAGTGCGCTATCGTGTATCAGTCTTAATTATTTAAAAAAATGTTTAGCTTATTATTGTTGTAGTTCAACTATTACTATTGGATAAACTGTGTGATGTAACACAATAAACGTTCTCTGTGAAAACTTCTTATTCAAACGATGTCGTTAGTTGTTAATAATCCAGCAATTGACAACTTGGTTCAAGCCTCCTTAGAAAGTGAAGATCAATACTTAATACTTGAATGGATTCCTTACTCGCAAATTACCGGCATAGAGTCAAGTCAAATTGACAACATCTATTACGCCATTCGCAAGCAAACGTGGGATGATGGCAGAATATATAAAATAACAAAGATAATGCTTTTATCACTTGGAAACCATGAAACATGTACACCAACGCTTATCAATGAGTCTGCTAGAACATACTCACTTCCAACATCCAAGTACAACGATGATGTCCGTCACTTTAGGCGATATTCCCAATGGCTTTATCGTCGCAACAAACTTATAATGGGTTTCACTAAGAATGACGATAAGTATTACATGGTTGCTAAGAGACGCTTTTATCATTGTTACTCTCAATATGGGTTCTGCACTGCATGTGGAATACTCCGATGTAGTCCCGTGTGGTGCATTTGTGGTCATAAACAATTATCTGATGGATGGACTAGCAACAATAAGCAACTCGATGAGTTTATCAAGAAATCTCAATTACAAACAAACTCACCAAATCATGCCTATTTGGAATGGATTCCACGTGGCTTTATTAGTGATGGACTTGGATACTTGTATGGTCTACCTATTCGCAATCAAGTTAAATCGATTCCACTTGAGATAACCGACGAGACAGATGATTCATATTATAACGAGGTAAACTATTTACTTATACGTCATGTTTATCCATTGTTTAATGACTTGTTGTATCATTTTAATTTCCACTAGTTACGTGATAAGCATCCAGATATTCTTACCGCGGATGTTTGGGTTACCATCGGATTCACATACAAAGCAAGTACACAAGAGTATTGTCTGATAAAAGTTGACGATGGATCATGTCTGGCATGTACGGAGCAATTAGAACCTAGAATAAGTGCATTCTGTCTTCATTGTAAAACACCAAGACCTCTTGATTGGACTACGGGCAACAATTCATTGGATTCGTTTATTATGGAGTCGTGGAGTAATGTAGAGAATAAATATGATACATATATACTATGGATTGAATACTCTCTATTGACAAACGTACAGAAGATGACATCATTACACCATGGATGTACACATATAGCAACAAATGAATTGACACGTGTGACACTCAAAAAGATAGTTGACGAAGGGGATGATCAATTATTGGATTTTTATCAGGTAAATTATTTCACGTGTAAAATTATTAACGTGTGTATCAAGTAATATTATTGTTATGTATCAAGCAGATTATTGTTGTAACGACTGTATTTTATTTATTATGTATTTGTTTACTCAAATAGCTAACCAAGGAATACCCCGACATATTAACCCCCGAAAATATTTGGATAATTGGAATCACTCGGGAGCCATCTACTCGGGAATATTATTTAGTTTTCTACCACGACATACATGCAATATTGGACAGGTTTATACGAAATAATGAACGTGTAGAGCACATGCAGTATAGCGACTTTTACGAACTCAAAGAGATCGGATCTGGTGGTTACGGAACAGTTTATACTGCCAAATAT